TCATCAATCTGGTTGATGTGCCAAAAACTATGCAAGAATTCTGATTTAGTTTTGTTGACGGTGAACTACGCAACTATTTTTCTAGCACTGCCATGTTGCCTCACCTAAATTCATGTTTTTCATTTATGTTGAGTTGCCCTCCTTGTTTGCTGAGTTGCTTCTCCCATTTGATTTTTTTTTCCTCAAAAACTCTTTTATAGGTACTTATTTCTCAAGAATTTAAGTATCAGCTTTTTATAATAGTGTTTTGAATAGTTTTTAAACTTAAAAAGTAGAAGTAGATATAGAAATTTGGATGCTATGCTGTAGATAATGTATCCATTTACAGTTCCTTGATAGGATTCAATAGTTAGCAGCACATGAACGGCCACAGTTTAGAGTAGGCATTATTGCTGTCTGCTACGCCTCTAAGCGGGTTATCAGATCGGAAGTATGATAAACAGGGACCCTTGTGTACTGCAACTCCTGCCAACACCATGCAAAAGCAGAAGCAAAACTTCTGGATAAGGATTTCTTTTTTTAAAATTCAATTTCCGGTCTTGCATGGATTGAGTGGGATTGTCTGTCCTAAAATATCTTCCGTATTGGTAGGACTTGCACTAAAGAGCAAATTTATTCCACGATTGACAATGTAACGTCATGATTTTGACCGGAAACCAGCTACCCTTGCACGGCTCTTACAATCTGACAATTCCGCAACCTAATTAGAGGAGCTTAGAATCTGAATGAGATTTTTATTAACGGTGAATTGCTTTTTAAATTATTATAAAATATTTCATATGATATTTAAATTTAAAATATTTTTAATATAATATTTAATTTATAAATTTATTAATTAATATAATATTTATTTTTAATGAAATTAATTTTAAATGATAAAATAATTAAATAAATAAATTTATAAATATCATAATAATTAATAAATTTATAATTTAAATATTATATTAAAAATATTTTAAATTTAAATATCATATTAAATATTTTATTATAATAAATCATTTACAGATTAACTCTTTTATTAAAAATATTCGGTTTGCACGGAGAGGAGATAGTCATGCAAAGATTTGAGATATCCTTAATGTAATATCGAAATAAGCAAAGCAACATAACCTAAACTAAATCTTGGGTTACTCCTTTCCTTTTCTTATTGAAAGTAGAACTGAATTACATACATAACGGATCATATCCACAGGACATACAGACGAATAAGATTTGTAACGGATCATTCCGGTCGAAATTAGGTTTTGAGATTTTCAGTCATAGAATATCCTTTCTTTTTTTTTGAGAAAATTGCAAGAAAAAGCACAGGTATCATCAATTATTATCATCACTATCAGACTACCAAACTTTTTCCCGGGATTTTTTCTTTTTATTTACATTGGCTCTCTTCTCTTTCTGTTATAAATCATTGACTTTTTGGAAAAATAAACAAAATGGCTCTGACATCACCATCTTTTCTCCCCCACCACCATTACCCTCTCCTCACCGCCACACTCAAACCCATCACAGCTACCCATTTTGCCGACCCAACAAAGTCAACCAAATCGACGGTGACCTCCACAAAATGGAGCCTTGACAGCTGGAAGTCCAAGAAGGCTCTCCAGCTTTCTGAGTACCCAGATCAAAACGACCTTGACTCTGTCCTCCGGACAGTGTCTACGTTCCCTCCAATCGTGTTTGCTGGGGAGGCAAGGAGCCTTGAGGAGAAGCTAGGACAGGCTGCTCTTGGCAATGCTTTCTTGCTACAAGGTAGTGACTGTGCGGAGAGCTTCGAGGAATTCAATGCTAATAACATTCGTGACACTTTCAGGGTCATTCTCCAGATGGGTGTGGTCCTTATGTTTGGTGGCCAAATGGCTATTATCAAGGTCCCTTTCATTTTTTAATGTTAGAATTGAGGTTGTATTATTCTAATTGCAAATCCTAGCCTTTCATTAGGGGTTTGTTTTTTTTTATTTGTATTGGTAGTTTATATTTTATAGGATGTCCTGTTGGTGTTGAGATTTTTTTATGATTGGACCAGGAATCGCATGGTTTGATTGTTTTGGTGGCTAGTTGGCTGCTCATATCCAGATATATACTTGGTTACTCCTCTTGATGGTTAATAAGGTACTTGATTACTTGAGAGATTTTGTGGGTGCTAGAATTAGAATTATGGTAATTTTTGGGAAGTGGGGGTTAAATTTCTTAATTTGTTGATTTACTAGAACCTTTTATCATGCAGTTGAACAAATTTCTTAATTTGTTGATAGTGAGATTATTAATAAACTGAAAAGTTATTGTTGATTCACCAACTTGGTAATGTGACTGAGTTCTTTAAGGTAACAAGCCTTGCTATATGACAATACAAATTATATTATGTACAACGGCAGTGGGATAATCTATTTAAGTTTGTGGCTTTGATTTTTCAGGTGGGAAGAATGGCAGGTCAGTTTGCAAAGCCAAGATCAGATCCGTTCGGGGAGAAGAATGGGGTGAAGCTCCTAAGTTATAGAGGTGACAATATAAATGGTGATTCTTTTGATGAGAAAGCAAGAGTTCCAGATCCCCATAGGATGATCAGGGCCTATTGCCAATCAGTGGCAACTTTGAACCTTTTGCGGGCATTTGCTACTGGAGGGTATGCAGTCATGCAGTCATTCAATTTGCAGAGAGCACAGTGAGCAGGGTGGCAGGTGTATTTATTTGCCTGAACTAAACGTTTTGTTTTATGTATCAAAAACCTTAGGTCTTTATGATGAATTGTTTGGCCTTTTCCCCTCTTTCTATTTGACATTTTTGAGTTTTTAATTAAAATGATGTGGTGTTTATTGAATCTGTATCTGTTATTGAAAAAATCTAGGATACTTAATCTAATTTTCATTATATTTGCCATAACTCATAACTACTTTTTCATTGACCCATTCTATCATTCCTAGAGGTTTGGCATATGATAGAGAATGATCCCTTGCCTGTGATAGTGGTTCTTTTCATGCTCAAGGAGATGATCTATGATCTTGAAGTAAATATTACAAGCTCATAAGTTGTGCTAGTGTGATTGAGCAATTACTTACATGATTTTGTGACAAATGTCATTACCGGGTGAATTACTCTGTTGCCTTATATTTTCACATATATTTAGCTGGTGGCAACGTTATATGGATATCATTACCTATTACTTAGTTTGTTCACTAGGTCCAATACATGACAAAATGGTGTTTCCTTTCTTTTTATTAATTACTTATAGGTGATATTCTCTTTAATTCTTCTTAGGTTTAAAATGATAAGTACGTTGGGAGGGGAAAGGCTTTGTTTCTTCTTTATCCAGGTTTTTGTAAGGGTTCATGTCTGTTTTCTATGTGATGCTGCATCATTATCTGCAATGGAAAGTGCTTTTCTTCACTCTCTAGGAACCGTTTACTTGAAGTTGCTGCAGGATTGTGTTAGTTAATCTATATTAAGATCTTTGATATTCTTAATGTTGAAAATGTTCTTTTTGGTATGTCTGAGCAGGTATCGTGAACTAGCTCACCGAGTTGATGAGGCTATGAGGTTCATGGCTGCTGCTGGACTCACAGTTGGTCACCCTATCATGACAACTACAGAGTTTTGGACATCTCATGAGTGCCTGCTATTGTCTTACGAGCTGGCACTGACAAGGGAGGATTCAATAATTGGGCTTTACTATGACTGCTCTGCACGCATGCTTTGGGTTGGAGATCGCACCCGCCAGCTTGATGGTGCTCATGTTGAATTTTTAAGGGGAGTTGCTAATCCTCTCGGCATAAAGGTACATTTCCTTTTCTTTTTTTTTTCAGTTTAGTGCACAAAGGTTTTTACAATGTCCTTACTCTGCAATGAGATTAATTTGTTGACTAGATAATTGAATACCTTTTTCCTTTTCTAAAAACAGTTCATTTTGGTGGTGATTATCTTTGAATTTCAGACAAAAGAAATCAAATGATTATTGATAGCTTTGTTATGCAGGTTAGCAATAAGATGGATCCTAATGAGCTAGTTAGGCTCATTGAAATTCTAAATCCTTGAAACAAAGCAGGTAGAATCACAGTCATTGTAAGGATGGGAACTGAGAATATGAGAGTAAAACTTCCCCATTTGATCAGGGCTGTCCGCAGAGCTGGGCAGATTGTAGCTTGGGTTAGCGACCCCATGCATGGGAACACCATTAAAGCTCCTTGTGGACTGAGAACTCGCTCCTTTGATGCAATAATGGTATGGTTGCTTAATTTTTTTTTTAAATACTTGTTTACTATAGCTTTTTCCATGTTGCTAAAGATTTCAAAACAGAAAACGATCCTACTTGGATAGTTATGTCTTCTCAGTTTTTTCACATCTACCATCCTAAGACAGAAGTGTTTGAGATCAAGTACCAGTCCAAATTATTATAAGTTTAACCTGAAAAAAATGTAAGGTGATTCTGAGAAGGTGGCATTGAATTATGTAAGCATAGATTTCTAGATAAACTGCTGGCTGATCTTTTGACCGGACTATATTGTTGGAACTCCATCAACAATATGGTAGAGTAATTTATGAATCTTTCTTAATTCCTATAATAATACTCTAGTAATTGTTAAAGTGGGTTATCCCACATCTAATAAATATTTAATTTTCTGTAGTTTTATATTCAAGTTGGATTCCTCCATTTACAACCCATTGGTTTTAGGTTGGATGGTTAACAGTAATAACTTTTGTTTTGGTAGGCTGAGGTGAGAGCATTTTTTGATGTGCATGATCAAGAAGGTAGCTACCCTAGAGGAGTTCATTTAGAAATGACAGGGCAGAATGTGACAGAATGTGTTGGAGGCTCAATAACTATAACCTATAATGATCTGGGTTCGCGCTATCATACACTCTGTGATCCAAGGCTCAATGCATCTCAATATCTAGAGCTTGCCTATGTAATTGCTTTGATTGAAACATAATGATATTTGTAAGAACTGTAATATAAAGATGAATAAATGATGTACTTGTTTGACTAGGTTTCGAAGCCAAACCAGCATAGCAGCCATACTGATTTATAATATTGAGAGCAGGCTTGAGATTTAAAATTCAGTATTTATAATTCGTATGCTGAGAATTTTTTTATAAAAAAATATGATAAATTTGATCATAAGGATATGCTAGGGGTTTGAGCCTAGTAGAAATGGTGTTCAACTTGGAGGAAATAACTTATATACATTTATCATTATTAGATTTAAAAATTGGCAGATAAAACATTTAGCTCAGTGGTATTGCTAATACAATTGAGATAGAATATTTTTTTCAAAATAAAAGGGAGAAAGAAAAAAATGATTCTGCACATAAAGAAAAACGTGATGTTGTTTGGGAGAGAATAAAAAAAATAGAACTGAGAGCACTTTCCACATGTAATGGATATATAGTGCATGAACTGTTTAATTGCTCTCTCTACCTCTGACCTTGAAACCTGTAAATGCCAAAAGTGAAAATTAAAACTGGGGGGTTGGTTTCTTCTAATTAGTACCAATTTTTTTTATCTACTGACACCAAAACATGTCATTGCCACAATTCAAAAGCCGCTCCGCCCTCCCCTGAAGAGCGTCCAAAATATCAAAGTTCTACTCAAATCTTTCGTCAACTCCCATTTATTTTCCATAATTGAAAGCTACACTTTTTCCTCGAACACACACAGTGCAACACCGCTCCCGTCCGTGAGCTGGGGATTTTTCCTATTAAGGCTTCGGAGTTTTGGGTTTTCCCTTCCCTTCTTTCCATAACTGAATTTAGTCGCATCGAATCCCTCTCGAATTTTCTCACGCGAAGAATCAGATTATGCCCCACCTTCAATCCCTTATATCTCATTCATTAATTTAATCAAATCAAACATGAAACATGTCCCAAAAGTCTTTTTAAGTTTTTGTTTTTTTTGTTTTTTTTATTTTAACTTTTGGGTAAAATTGTGAAATGGAAACTTATCGGACATGCCTTTTTCCTTCTGAATTACAGAATTAGCCATCATGGTCTCCCAGGCCCCAGCATCTTTCTCAGCCATAAACACACAAATACCCCCGATCCTGTCCGCTTTAACTTTAAGCTTATCCTCAACAATTAAAAAAAAAATCAAAAACCTAAAATGTAAAACTAACTTTTCATTTTAATATATTTCTATACTTTAATACTTATTATTATCATTATTATCTCACATTTACATTTCCATTCCCCCCACCATATTGTACCAAACTAGAATTTGCACGTCAAGAAAAACGAAACAAAACTCACGCCCACACCTCCCCATTCCCAAATATCTTCATGTCAGTGCCTCATCTACCATCATCTTCCCTTCCCACTGATTTCCTCCACGTGTTCAATCACACCGGCGTCTTGCATGCCGATGTCTGTGGATCCCACATCGCCGGCAACAAGAATTTCCTCCCGTTAACTCCGTTCGCGTTGTAGCTCGCCCCAGTGCTCTTCTCCACCAGGAGATTACCCGGATAACCTGGGTACGAACCCGACCCGAACATCCCTGTGCAGGCTGAAACCGCCTCTAATGGCGCTTTAGCTGGCCCCTGGAAATACCCATTATTGAACGGATTAGTGACAGTGTTAGCCAAAAGGGTGGCCAAGTTAATGATCATTCCGTCAACACCAACGTCTCCGTTGGGAGCAACTAAAGGTGGGGTTTGGGGACCGTAAATAGGCTGGTGAAACGGCCAGGCGCATTGACCAGGGCACTGAGCCTCAGAGTTTCCAACCCAGATATAGGTTCCACGAATCGGGCCTCGGCCAACACGGGTTGACCCGTGAGTCCCGCACCTCATGCAAAAGCCTTCGACGGCGACGTCTTTGGCCGTGAGGATGATGTTGATGCTGTTGACGCCATTAAATTTGCTGGCCAAGGCTGGTAAATGCGGGTTTTTAAGGAATTTACCGAGGGGATAGTTTTCGAGAAGGATTTGTTTGCCTACAACCAAGGTGGATGAACCTCGCTGGTATTTCTCAGTAGTTTTCCACCAAGATGATGTAGAAGGAAGTGTGGACTTGTCGGAATTCAAGGAGTTGATGAAATCAAGGATTATGGACCGTTGGATGGGAGTAAACTTTCCGTACCAAATGACATTAACGGTGATTTTGCCCTTTAAGAGCGGGCCGTTGTGGTACTTTAACACGAGAGGTTGCTGTTGAACTAACTCGGAGAACGAGAGGTTGATAAAACAGAAGAGCAGGAGAGTGGCATGGTAGTAAATAGAAGCCATGTCGAAGGGTGAAAGTGAAGGGCTGTGATTTTTAGTTAGTCATGCAAGGAGCTTGGTGGGAAAAATTGAGAATGAAGAGAGTGAGTTTGGAAGGTATTATTTATAGAGGGTGCGTGGGAGAGGGGGATGCAGCTGTGGAGGCAGGGGTGTCAATGTCTCAGAGAGCCACGTGGAGAATGAGGATTGGGGTCCAAACGAGAAAAGGAGTTTTGCCAGACTGTAAGGAGATGAAAGGTGACTTGGCGGTCTAACGAGGGAAATGAGGGATAGAAAGGGAGAGGGAGAGAGAGAGAGAGAGAGAAGGCTTTTGCAGTTTTGCGCATGCTTCCGATGGTAACATTAGATTTCTGGTTTTTAAAATAGAGGTTTGCGTTGCGGTAGCATATATTGATGGCAGTGACGAAGCATGGAGCCGAGTTTTTTTTTTTTTAATCTAAAATTTTTTATATTTGATAGTTATTTTGATTTTTAATTAATTTAAAATTAAATCAGATTAAATTTTATAAAAAAATAATTTTTTAAATTTATTTTTTTATTTATAAAATTTAAAATCAAAATTTTATTTTAAAAAATTAAATTTTTTATCATTCAAATAAACAGACGTTAACGAGAGTCGAGTGTTTTGTTTTCATATTACAAACCAAACGATTCCATGCGTCCATTCATTTTTTTTTTTTTAATTTGGGAAATATTACCATAGACGATCAGCACCGTTAAATCTGATTATTGAAATTCTGGTAGCGTGAGATAATAGTTTTACTTATACAGTCCTTAATCTTATCTCTTGCGTGGGACCACAAGCACTATTCATTACCTAGCTATGGCGTGGTGCACCGTAACTACAGTAGTGCATCACAAATCTTGTTATGTCAGACAGTAGACCCAATGTTGGAGCTGATGAATGACGACATGAGGTAAGGATACTAAGGTGCAGACTTCCAAAAAAGTGGTGTTTTAGTATTTTAGGAATTAGTTTTATCAATTTAGTCACGAATCATCGGAGCCCCTTGATTAAAATTCTCATACCGACGCCCCCCCCCCCCCCCCTCAATGCAGCGGGCCCAATGCCTCAGTGTTACGGACTAAGTTTTTTTTCAATGAAATGATAAATCGTACGGTACTTTTAATAGATATTTTCACCCAAATCAATTTAGGATAACTTGATATCTAAATAGTCAACAATAAATTATAAGTTAATCTCAAGCATACATAAATAAATATATTCATATCGGGAGAAAGGAAAGCATATTAAGACAAAACTCGAGATTTTTGAATAAAAAATATTTTATTAATATAAAAATAGTACATCGAGATTTTTCTACCATTATCGAAATTAGAGGGGTAATTTTTGACGGGTGGCCTAACACATACCTTAACCAGTGAGATAGGCCAACAATATGTCGATTGCTCACCCCTTCTAAAAGCAAATAAAATTTTAGAGCTATGCTACCACTAACCATTATAATGTTTGAAATGGTGACATTTTTTCTAGCACAAAAGATTTACCATCCCTTTTGGTATCTCTACCTGGTCATAGCCTATACATGGGTGACTCATGACAACCTAAGCCCGGTGATGGCCTTATATAAGGTTGGCTCATGACATCTTCCCCACTATTCTATCGACGTTCTAATCGACTTGTTGGCTTGAAATTCTTCAATCTTTATCTTGAATGCTCGGAGGTCATGATCTATTTCCCAACTAGTTTCTTTTGGTCCTAATCTCTCCCACTTCACTATGTATTCACAGATTAGTCTTCGAGATACCTTGGTTTCCCTATCAACTAGGATCTCTTCAACCCGACGTTCTAAAGGTGGCTTCATGGTGATAGCGGCCCTGGTTGACTCTTTGTGGCTAACATTTGTAGGGTCTGTATGAAAATATTTTAAGTTGCTCACGTGAAATATTGGGTGCAACTTCATCCACTTTTGTGGATCGATTTTGTAAGAAGCATTTCCCACCTTAGAAAGGATCTTCACTGGACCCTCATATTTGCGCACTAATCTACGATCTCTCTTCTTCAAGAACTTGTTTTGTTTAGGGACTAGTCAGACAATAACCAAATCACCAACTTGGAATTATTGCACCCTGCGACCTTTATCTACCCATTTCTTTATTCTATTCGACGTCTTTTCTAGGTAAGCTTGTACAATCTCTATGTTTTGTTTCCATTCTTTGCCAATGTTGAAGGCTCATGAATTCTTCCCTTCATATTGCTTCAGAGATGTATTGGGTAGCCTTGGTAGTTATCTAGTGACCACATTAAACGGACTCTTGTTAGTGGAAGAGCTATTGTTGGAATTAAAACAAAACTGAACAACGTCAATAACGAAGGCCAGTTCTTCTGATTGGCTTGAACAAAATACCTTAAGTATTCTTTCACAACCTATTGAACCGTTCAGTTTGGCCGTCGGTTTAGGGGTAGTAGCTTGAAGAGATGTTGAGTTGGGACTCTAATATCTTGAAAAGTTTTCTCCAGAAGGACCCCATAAATCTTGGATCCCTATCATTTACAATATTATGAGGAATGCCTCAATATTTGATCACTTGTTTGAACAGTAGCCGAGTTGTGTTTTCTGCAGTACAATACTTTTGGGTGAGAATGAATGTGGCATATTTTAAGAAACGATCGATCACCACCAAAATAACCTCAAGATCGTCAACTTTGGGAAGGCATGAAATGAAGTTAAGAGAGATACTTTCTCACAGTCTAGCGGGCACTGGTAGTGGTTCAAGCATGCTTGTAAGTTTCTTCTTTTCAACTTTGTCTTGTTGGTAAATGAGGTAAGTCTTTATATAGTCCATCATATCTTAGCGCATGTGAGGCCAATAGTATCTCTGTTTTAATAGAGTCAAAGTACGTTGCCAACTCAGATGTCCTGCCCATGGTGTGTCATGGCATTCTTTCATCAGCATCTGTCTCAGACCTCCTACCTTCGGCACAAACAATTAAGGGCCCTTTGTCCACAAAACCTCGTTCTCCCGCCAAAAATACTTGAACCTCCCTTCTTCAACTAACTTCAGAATGACACTGGCCTACGGGTCCTTTCCCAAATTATCTTCAATCAATTTGTGAACGTCTATCGTAACTTTACTAACCGCCATTAGGGCAATTCTCCTAAGGGCTGCTAACTCTGCTCGTCTACTCAATGCATCAGCCACTTGATTAGTCTTTTCAGAGGTGTGCTCAAAACAAAAGTCAAACTCAGCTAAAAGTTTTTACCATCTAGCTTGCTTCGCTGTGAGCCTTGGTTGGGTGAAGAAATGGCTAACTGCCACATTGTCCGTCTTCACGACAAAGTGTGAACCCAACAAATAATGTCTCAAAGTCCTCAGACAATGAATTACCGCCAAGAGTTCTTTTTCTTGGGTCGTATATTTTCTTTCAACTTCACTTAGCTTTCTACTTTCAAATGCTATTGGGTGACGTTCTTGTAAAAACACTCCCCCAATAGTGAAATCAGATGCATCTATCTGAACTTTAAAAGGCTTCTCAATGTCAGAGAGAGCTAAGATAGGGTCGTTCATAATAGCTTCATTCAATCCCTCAAAGGTTCCTTGACACTCGTTTGTCCAACATAATTTATGTTCTTTTTTCAATAGCTCCGTGAGGGCCGTAGTCTTGCAAGAGTACCCTTTTATAAACTTCTGTAATAATTAACTAATCTTAAAAATGAGCGAAGTTCACTAATATTCTTCGGTGTTGTCCACTCTTTGATGGCCCTAACCTTTTTCATGTCAATTCGAATGTGGCCACGTTCGACAAGGTGACCACACATGGGTGTTCCCTTAAGAATAATAGGTAACTAATAGCGGGGATTGAGATCACCTAAGCCAACATCATGAAATCCCATCTGAAGACAACATCAAAGTCATCAATGGAAGAAACTGTAAAGTCTACCTTCTTTTTTCATGGCCCTAACTTGATCATCACACTCTTAAAGCTTTCACTGATCGTAAAGGTTGACAAATTAATTACCTTTATTTGCCCATAGTTCTTACTGACCTTGAGATCACACGTTTTTGCTTTCTCTGGTGTGATGAAGGTGTCAGTTGCACCTGTGTCTATCATGACCTTGATGGTCTTTTCATTGAGTATTAGGTTCACATATATCAAGCTTTTATCTTATTCTTTTTTATCATGTTAGTTGGGTACGGAGGGCATTGAAGAATCTTATTGAACCCATCATAGCTGGTTCTTCTTCAATTTTTTCAACTGTCTTCGGTGCTTTTATAGACTCTTGAGATGAGACTCTTAAGGCATTAAGGGCTCCTCTGTGTGGGCATTTAGCAACGCGATGTGGCCCCTTACATAAAAAGTAAGCTAACAATTGCTTAGGCTTGAAAGTCACTGTTTTGTTTGCCTTAGGTTGGGTGCTGTCTCGACTAAAGGGCCTCTTATCTGATCCCTCATTGAAGGGTCAATCCATTCTGGTCATTTTTTTCTAACTCCCAAAGTTGAAGTTACTGCCACCTGATGAAGAATTTTTTTATTTTGAGGAGCCATCATTATAATCATGGAGACATTCGATCGCAGCCATAACCATGGCCATGACCACATCTTGCACTTTCTGTCTTTGTAGTTTGTCCTGGCCCAAGGCTTGAGGCCCTCAAGAAAATAGAACATCTTATCCTTTTCGGACATGTCTCTAATATCCAACATCAAGGTAAAAAAATTTCTCACAAACTCTCGCACTGTTTCGTTTGTACCAATTCTCGAAGTTTCTTTTGGGTCATATACTCTACATTCTCAAGGAAGAATTGATTTTTCAATTCTTGTTTTAGATTTGCCCAAGTTTTAATCGAGCATTCATCGTTGACAAACTTAGAATGCGACCACAGCTTGGCATCCCTCGTAAGGTACATCAATTCCATTACTACCTTATCTTTCTTTGAATCAATGTGTACAACTCAAAGTATTACTTTATGTCAAACAAGAAGTTTTCAAGCTCTTTGGCATCTCTTGCCCTCTCATAGCATCGAGGTTTCGATACTTTAGTCCTTTTTCCCTTTTCTATCGAGCTAAAACTCGATAGCCACAGCCATATGTAAGATGCTCACTTACTTTCTGAGTTCCTTAAACTCC